ACTTTGATTACCAACAAAATTTTTAACTAAGTAGAATACGATTACATTTCTGTTAGGAATCGTATTTCAAGTTTGTTTGTTGTTTACACTATCTACCTTTTCCTTCCGAGCCAAGCGTAGCGATTCCCGAAGAATGGGCTTGCAAGTTGCATGCGTTAGGCATCGCAGAACTCACGTAGGTGCGAAAATATGGTCTGTCGATCATAGTCAGAATAGGTATTTTACCTAATTAATATTTCGTAATGTATTTTGTTACTCTTTATTGACATCCCTCCATAACAACAGAAAGTCCACCGTAACGTAGGAAGAGGAAAATGTGCAAAGTAATACGGACATTCTCGCGCAGCAATAAAGTTTTATTTAGCTTGCGAGCGCGATTTATCTAATTAATAATAATTATGTAGGCTATTAAATGTCGGCAAGCAGTCAACATTAAAAGAGTGAATTTTCCGTACGTAATACTATTATTTATTATGTGCTCTAAGTGACTGATTTTTCAATCGTCGATAACATAGAATAAAATGTAAGGTAAACAAATTAAAAATGACAGTTGTATTAATTAACATAGTTTACTTTTTTGACTTTTATATTCAGTTAGGTTATAATTTATATGATAACTTTGAACTAACTTCAAAAAAATTTAAACAACACGTATTGGTAACGAGCTGTGATGATCCTGATAATTATTTCATTATATCCTAGTGATCCTAATCAGGATGCTTGGATAACATTATTAAAATATTGTAATGTCATCGATCCTCAACACGAGTGCAGATTTTCAATTTAATCGACAGTCTACAAGCAAAACTTTTTTTAATTATATTTCTCTCTATTGGTTTCATCACGTTTATGTTATGTTTATGTTAAGGTTAGGTTAGGTTATGTTTAAGGCAAATCTTCTTTACAATACGCAATTTTAAGTGCTGATATACCACGAACTCGGCTATGAAGGAAAACATCGTGAGGAAACCTGCATGTCTGAGAAATATAATAAAAAAATTTCGAAGACATGTGAAGTTCGCCAACACGCATTGGGTAGGCGCGGCGGACACTTCCTTGCTCTAAAACCCACTCAGAAATGAGAGGAGGCCTGTGCCCAGCAGTGGGACTGTAGCTTTAACTATTTGTTTTTAGTACGAATGGTAATAATAACGTCCCCCAGATTGAATTCCGGTCACAGCGACCGGTTTACGAGGTTGGAACTTTTAGTGACGGTGTAAGAATGTTTACTACGTCATCTTGTTTTGTAAGTGTCGACAGAGAGAAACAAACTAAAAAAACTGCGGTTGCCAAACGATCTGGACGTTTGACAGACTGTATGGTAACGATAAATCTAGAAAACCTACTATTACTAAAACTGCGATACATATTTGTCTATAGCCACAAACTTTCTTATATTGTTTTATACAAAACACAATTTAAATCTGTACTGCCTATACAAAAGCTGTGAATCATTGATATAAGCAAATTACCAAGACGAGACGAAGACTGATTCTGAACGTATAACACTTCACTAACTAAGTTATCAAATTCAGTCGAGTTCTGGAGTTAGGCGATAGCTATATCAAATGCGAGCAAGTTGTAAATTGTGTTTATAGAATCATGAATAGAAGAAATTTGGTGGTTTATTTTTAATAGAAAAAGAGTTGAATTGAATTCTTTTACGTGCTGCAGCTATATTGTGGTTGCAGCACGAATGGGTCGGCTCGACCGAGGTAGGACCACGCTCTCACAGAATATCAGCGTAAAATAGCAGCTTAATGGTGTTGTGTTTCGTATGGTGAGTGTAGAGAACCGGAGACCCTCTTTACTGGAAACGAGGCATTCCATCTCAGTTCTCAGGGCTGGCTACGTATTTGAATTTTGATTTTTAATTGAAGATAAATGTAGATGTCTATGGACCACAGCATCCACCTAACATCAGGTGGACTGTGTGCTTCTTTGTCACCCTTATACTATAAAAAAATTAAAATAAATTAAGTAATAAATATAGTATATTATAGATAGGGTGTTTTAAGAGGCGGCAGAGGGAAGCTGAAATAGGAGAAGGGCAGCAGTATCTTACTGAAAACAACTCAATAATAAAAATAAAATTAGATAGTTGTTGCCGACCCTGCCCAGCATGGCAAATGTGGCGAATATAGGCGAGTAAGTGAATGCCCATGATCAATAAATACGAGAAGTCTCTGGTTATCAGTAAACTTTTGTTCTGAAATGGTGACTGAAAATTATGTCATAAAGTAAGAGAATTATCACTGCTTTTTATTTATTAATGACCTGCTTATGGATTTCCTTATGAGGGGAACATTTGCTATAGTTACCAGGCTTGACAGGTTAGTTCAAAACCAGTTTTTTTTTAAATTATTTTGATAACAATGCAAATTGCAAATTTGATAACAAAACAAATGCTGCTGTTGCGGCCCATCACCTAGTTTAATTTCGCTCTGTCGGCTCTTACGATACCCACGGGTCGGTGGGGGGTAGTGCATATTCTTACTCTGAAGAGAATCAGCATACACTACTTTTAATGGATGTGAGGCGTTCAATCTTAATCTTAAGGTATAACATCGGTGGCATTCTATGTTTGAAGCATTGAAGTTGGCTGAATCCATGGGATGTAGTGCTCATTGGGAATCAGTTGGACTGAAAGCTCGTTTGGCTTTTTAAAATTAACATATTACTTGCTAATAATTGTTTTACATACATAAATTGAACATGGACAAGCATCCAGTCCCGGAACATTTGTAGGCCCAACAAATTCGAACGGGTTTCGAAACTGAGGCTCTGCAGTATCACAGCTAATTCGTTTATCACTGCGCCACCGAACCAATGTATATTATATAAATATCACAGGGATAGCTACATATTTTAAGCTACCTCGTGACTTAGGACTAAGTTTTAAATATATGTCTAAGTCTATAAGTAAACGTTTCCAACTTAACATAAGACTGTATTGTCGAAGTTTTAAAAGCTTTTTAAAAACAGCTTAAGAATTTTTGCACTTGGACGCTTATAAAGAACACTATACTAGAGGTAGACTCTAGTTAAGTTTATATTTTATTCAGTGACATTAAGTTCTTTGTCACGGTAGCCTTAAAATGTGGTTTAAACGTAAATTTAGCTAAAGGGAGGAAAATGTTGGCACTGAAAATATATGGGCCAATACCGGATTTAAAAAATGTTGCACGTTGTAGGGTCACGCTGCAGCTACTCGTATGTTAGGGCTGTAGCACGAATAGGTCGGCTCGACCAGGGAAGGACCACGCTCTCATAGAATACCGGCGTAAAATAGCAGCTTAACGCTGCTGTGTTTCTTATGGTGAGTGTAGAGAACCGGAGATCTTTTTTAGTGGAAACGAGGCAATTCATCCCGGTTCTCAGGGCTGGCAAGGCATCTGCATTTTGATTCTTAATCGAGGATAAATGAAGATGTCTATGGGCTACTGCATCCATTTACTATCAGGTGGACTGTATGCTCGTTTGTCACACTTATTCTATTAAAAAATGTTTTTCTTTATGTTGTACCCTATTATAATATTAGGCGAATGGTTTCTTATTTCTGAAGGGATTATAGAGTAAACCTTAATTTAAAGATTGTTGGTTCTTATAAAATTTAAGTGACAAACGAACTCACAGTCCATCTGATAGTAAGTGGTCACTGTAACCTATGGGCATCTGCAATGACCGTCAAACAAGGAAGATAGATGCGTTGTCACGTCTGAGGGCTAAGGTCGTAGAGCAACACGGGTCACCGGCGGATTGGAGAGAAGTAGCCGTAGTGTTTTTTCTCGATACAGAACTGTTTGTCATGTTTTTCAAGGTCTGCTCATTAACTGCGCACAGAAAAAAAATCATATCCCACCAATCATAAAACAATAAGCTAACAATTTCCCGCACACATAGATACATAGTAATAATATCATACTATGACAGCAAAAACTCGGATCAGTCGCTCGACCGATCCGCATATTGTATGAGAGCGAGCGGCCTGTGTTAGCAAGCAAATCCGAACCACCATGACCGTTATTATTTTAATTTTTAGTTTAAAAAAAGTAAATAGTAATAATGTGATCAAAATGAATGTATATATTAAAAAAGGTAATAATCTATTTGTAAATTTGACGTGGCAGATCTCATTTTACATCAGGAAACTAAACAATACAGCATTTTGTAGGACGTTGATTCAGTCGCGCAACTAGAGTTAGTCTAGTGAGCAGTGCGGTTGCAACTAGTTTAAATGTACTCGTAGGACTGCGTGAACATATACTTTGACAGAGGGGAACGCCTGCATATGGCTACTACCCTCTATGGCTAAGGTGTAATGTATGACGGCTTGTGATTCTACTGGGTCTCTTCTTCTCATTTCTACGGCAGTAAAACTGCTTGCACTACTATTTGGCGGCAGAACTACAGACCGAAAATAAATCCCATCACCAAGTTTTATATTATATTGCCATCTATCTCATAGTGGTAGATTGCTAACGTTTTTGTTATCGAAACTACGAGACCGTTTATCGTCAATGGAAAAAATTTAAAAGTTGTAAATTGGTTAATTTTTTATATTTTTAGTTAACAAATAAATTTTTCGTAAAGGTTTACAGTAATAGGACTTTTTCTGCTTAGGAATCAGTCTGGGTAAGCTCCACTCTTTTTTTTTGGAATAAGGGTGACAAACGAGCACTCAGTCTACTTGATGGCAAGTGGGTGTTGTGGTCCATAGATATCGATATTTACTCTCCATCAAGAATCAAAATGCAGATGCGTTGTCACCCTTGAGGACTTGATTCCGTAAAAAGGTTCCGCTTCTCTACACTCATCACACGAAACACAGCAGCATTAAGCTGCTATTTTACGCTGGTATTCTGTAAGAGCGCGGTCCTACCCCAGTTGAGCCGACCCATTCGTGCTACAGAGATAATATAGCTACAACATAGTTTCACCACGTATAAAATATTATTTATTATTTTATTTTTAATTATTATTCTGTTCACATTACTTACTTGCACGATATTCCAGTACGGCACTATCTTGGCAATGCTTTCGGTGACTTCTGAGCAGGCCGTCCCCAACAGCATCACCATTCGGGATTCTCTCTCTGTGTACAACGCGTGAAAGAACCGGTCCACGCCTACTCCTGGATCGCACTAGAATGTTTTAAGAAAAAAAAGAAAATATTTATTTCTCCACATATGCGTATGTGCGTGTGTGTTGTTAATAATAAAGTATTAGACTTAGCCAAATGTGACGAAAAGGGTTCGCACTCAGCATTTGGCGTGGCGAACCAGACACGTTGTTTATCTGTGTAGTTCGACCAGTGTTATATCATTATAAACTATTGTTGCGCGCTTAAGTTGATATCTGGTACCTGGCACTAGCGTCATCTAGTGTCGGGAACAGAGCGAGGAGAGCTTTCTAGAAAATGCCATGCTGGAACTTTCCACCTCCAGCGTCATCTAGTATCAAATAGAAGAACTAAGCTTTCTGGAAAACTCCACAGTAGAACTTTCTCCACCTAGTCGGTCGGGACCAGTATTTGCTGGAATATTCTAGATGTTTCGGTGTAAAAGACCTATTTAAAGCCGATAAGGACCGCGACCGGAGCAGTATTGAATTGGCGATACAAGTGAAGACTTAGGAGTGAAATAAAGTGAACTAAAGTGTTCATCATCATCATCATAATCATTACAGCCCTTCACAATTCCACTGCTGAACATAGGCCTCCCCCAAGTAATACCACAAAGCACTGTCGCCTCTTACGACACCCACGGGAAGATATGGGGTAGTGGATATTCTCAACCGCCACTACACGGCAACTAAAGTGTTAAGTGTGATTAATTATTAGTGTGTATTAGTTTTAATTGGTGTTCGGTAATTAAAGTGTCAACTTTGGTAATTCAATCGGCAGTTTTTATTGTCACGAACCCTAAGCTCGTAACACTATAAATAAACGCAGTCATTGATATGTTTTTATCAATGATCTTTTATCCTATTTAAGGAGCCTTGGTAGCTCAGAAGTGGAGTACAAAATGAGATTAATCTCTTCCCAGTTTAATTCAGCTATAGTGATTGTAATCATAGCAACTTCGCTGTGTAATGGTGGCGTTAAAGAATTCACTCCCCCCAAATCACCCCGCGGATGTCACAAGTGGCGAGAAATGCGAACTAAAACAAAGAGGATGGACATCAGCATTTTCCTGACTATTATTCAAAATAATAAAAAAAAAAAGCCGCGATTGCCAGTCCTTCAGCCTAGCGTTGCACCTACTGCAAATAACTCCACTATGAGGCAACTAATGAGGGAGCCCTAGGTTTAATAGTGAACTTTTGATAGACTGTAATGAATGATTTGAATGAATTACTGCAACTTACACTTAATTTGGGCGATATGGATTCTTCAATGTGCCGCAAGTTGGCTCTTTATATAGGATACCGTGACAAACGAGCACACAGTTCACCTGATGGTAAATGGTTGCTGTGTCCCATAGAGATCTACATCTATCCTCGATTACGAATCAAAATGCTAATGCGTTATCACCCGTGATGACTAATATGGAATGCCTCGTTTCCAGTAAAAAGGGTCTCAGGATCTCTACACTCACCATACGAAACATAGTAGTATTAAGCTACTATTTTAAGCTGGTATTCTATTCCCCGGTCGATCAGACCCATTCGTGCCATAACTATACTACTAATATAACTGCAGCAAGGCTCTACCACGTCCACTTTGTTATGAAAATGTTCAAAGTTTGGTATTAAACAAGTTTGAAAGTTTTATTAAAGAAAAAGTATACAAAAAGGATTATTATTTTTCAAAGAATAAATGAATGAAGAACGTTTTAAATTTCTTAGCTCTTGTCACGACTTTTCCTTACGGTCCAAAGAAAATCTTTCACTCCAATGTCCTGTACACTCCTCGACATTTTATGATAAATCTTTTGCTGTCCTTGGAGTAAGACTCTGGAACTCCTTACCCCAGTCAATTAAAAGTGCTCAATCATTAAATGTGTTCAAGAATCAGATTAAGGAACACTATTTGTCTCTTTAACTCCTCTCTCTCTCCTCTTAGTTATGGTCATTAATCTATCTAAAGTATGTTGTTGTTTTAGTATATAAGTTTGTATTTTTTTTTATTTAGTGCATCCTACCCGTTAATTTTATTTTTATTTTTATTAATTTCCTCTTCTGGGTTGTCTGGAAGAGATTGCTATTTAGCAATAAGACCGCCTTTTTTTTGCATATTCCATCAACAAAAAGTAAGCATTTTTACATTGCTATATTTAAAGTTTGAAGATTCGGCTTTTTCATTGAATAAGTAAATTTTGCCGTTGGAATGTATCCAGAGCGCAATCTAAAAGCTAAGTTGATGTAGTTTCTTTTCAATATTGATTTTCCTTGATGAAAAATGCAAACGACGGCGTACGACATACCTAGAGACAATTTTGCCTCGCCTCATACGTCTTTTCAAAACAAAAGTACAAAATAGAAAATCATTTATATTTTTAACATTGGTTCGGAAAAAACCTTTGTCCTAGGTCGAACGTTGTAGAGCCACGCTGCAGCGATATTATGGTTGTATCACGAATGGTTGGGCTCGCCCGGGGAAGGAACACGCTCTCACGGAATACCAGCATGAAATAGCAACTTAATGCTGCTGTGTTTCGTATGGTGAGCGTAGAGATCCAAAGACCCATTTTACTGAAAACGAGGCATTCCATCTTAGTCCTCAGGGGTGACAACGGATCTGCATTTTGATTCTTAAACGAGGTTAAGTATGGATGTCTATGGGTCACACCATTCACTTATCATAAAGTGGACTACGAGCACACTCGTTTGTCACCATTATTCTATAAAAAAAAACAACAGAAAATCTAGCGGGACCTTTTTTAACAACTAACCTTAGTATCATTGGTGATGAGATGGAGTTTGTACCCCGGCAGCAACGCGCGACTATTGACGTGGTTCACGGCTAGTTTCGCCGCAGCCAGTTCTGACGCCCCTTCAGCTCTTGGAGACTGGCCCACTGTCAGCTCGAACAGTCCCAATATCGAAACTATTCTGTTGGTCGTTGCCTTCGGCAGTTCTGCGGACAATACTATGGATAATGTAAAAAGTCAAAAGTTCGATTTACTTTACGTCAAAAGAACTATGATAAGACATAAATATCTAAGATTCTGTTATTACGTATTTTGCATATTTTTCATTTTTATGAGTCCATCCCAGTCTTAATCAGACTAAAAATGCCCAGATCTATGATAGGCAGCAGCGCCACAGGTGTAATGTGTCTGGCCCTGCGATCGCTAACCCACTTGCCCAGTGTGGCGATTAAGGGCACTTCCTCCAATGAGTAGCACCAAAAAACACTGCTCCCAGTTGCCGGTTGCTCCATTATTCTGCGGCTAGATGGACACATTGGCGAACTGGAAGCTGAGGTGGAAAATATAAGATGCCATATTGTAGGGTTAAAAGAAGTCCGAAGAGAGGGGGAGGACACAATCACCCTGAAATTAGGCCATCTGCTTTACTTTCGGAGGGAGATGACCTTTTTCACAGCAGAGTGGGTTTCCTCATTCATAGGATCCTCACTAAAAACATTGCAGAAATCTCCAGTGTATCGACACGGGTAGCATATCTTGTACTTAAGTTATCAAAGAGATACTCTGTGAAGATCGTATAAGTTTATGCCCCGTCCTCGGCACATTCGAATGATGAAGTTGAAACTGTTTATGAAGACATTTCACTACAATGGTGTTATAGGGGATTTTAACGCCAAAGTGGGTAAGCACATGGACGTCGAATCGATTTTGGGACTCCACGGTTTTAGAATCAGAAAACACAGGGGGCAAATGCTGGTCAACTTTCTCGAGAAAGAGGGGTTATTCCTGATGAATTCGTTGTTCGAGAAGAAGCCACAAAGGAAGTGTACCTAGCGCAGTCCCACTAATAACACTACAAAAAGTGAGATTGACTTCATCATGATGGACAAAAGGCACATATTCAGAGATGTCTCAGTGATCATCAAATTTAATACCGGAAGCGATCACCGACATGTTCGAGGCACTCTGAACTCTTATTCTCTCGCTGGAAAAGTCCGGATTGATGAAGTCTACGATTTAACCAAATCTGAATAAAACTAAATTTACGGATTTTATCGCGTTTATTTCACTACTTTTACTTATTTTTAATTCTCGACGTTTCGGGTGCTTTACAGCACCCATAGTCACGGGGGGGGAGACTGAGATATTTGACGTCTAAATGTCATAGTTAGTCCGGCTACCTTCAGTTTTTGAATATTAATTTTTGGTCCGAATTACGCAAAAAAAAATTAATAGTAATGACCAAAAATTAAAAAAAAAATTAAAAATTAATATTCAAAAACTGAAGGTAGCCGGACTAACTATGACATTGGGACGTCAAACATCTCAGTCCCCCCCGTGACCATGGGTGCTGTAAAGCACCCGAAACGTCGGGAATTAAAAATAAGTAAAAGTAGTGAAATAAACGCGATAAAATCCGTAAATTTAGTTTTATTCACGGTCACGCCAGTTCCAAATACTGTTGATGGTGAAATTCTCGAAGTTATGCAGGAATATATTTACGTCGGGCAGATATTGCGACTAGGTAAGAATAACATCGAGAAGGAAGCCGGTCGGAGGATTCAGTTAGGCTGGGCAGCATTTAGAAAGCTCCGTCGGGTTCTCTCGTCATCCATACCACAAATTCTGAAGACAAAAGTCTTCAACCAGTGCGTTCTGCCCGTATTCACATATGGTGCCGAAACGTGGATACTGATGATACAGCTGCTGCAAAAGCTCAAAGTTGCTCAGCGAGCAATGGAAAGACCTATGCTCGGAGTTTCTCTGGTAGACAACATTTGAAATGAAGAAGTCCGCCGGAGAACCAAGGTTACTGACATAGCCTTCCGTGTTTGCAAGCTGTAGTGGCATTAGGTTAGTGATGTCTGTCACAGAAGTGCACAACCTGTGGAGTAGACGTGATATGTCGTGGAGACGTTTCGACAAACGTAATGTGGGACGCCCCCTGACTAGATAGAGCGACGATCTGCGCAAAGTGGCTGGTAGAAACTGCATGCGTGTAGCCGAAGATCGGGCTAAGTGGCGCGCATTGGGAGAGGCCTATGTCCAGCAGTGGACTGCTGCAGGCTGATGATGATGATGATGAGTCCTTATAAGATTTTGTAATTCCTTACAGACTATGGTGGGTTTACTATCTCAATAAAACTTTTAAACGTGCTAGAACCATTCTGGAGATTCTATGGGTACACGAATGGCTCTGACAGACCGGAGAAGGATTAAGCTCTTACAGAATTTCGGCTTGAATAGCGTAAGTGTAGAGAAGCGGATACACTTTTTACTGGGAACGTGGTTTTTATTGTATTTTCGTCCGCAGGGGTAATAACGCATCTGCATTATATTTCTTAAACAATTGACTGAATATAAAAAAAGTTAATAAATGCGATAAAATCCGTAAAAACACTTAATCAGATTTTTCTTGACTATAAATACTAATAATAACACTTAATTTATGCGAGTCACAGCCAGTAATGCTTATCCGTGTAAATCGATATTAAGAAGTCGGCGGCCGAATTTGCACGAAGTCTGACGAGCCATTGCTGTCGCTAAACAAAATTTTTAAAACCACCTTAAAAACACATTTAGTTTTGTATGTCTTCGGTAGTTTTTGTTGTAATTTGCATTATTACCTTGTACGAATAACCCAAACCAAATTTATATTAAGCTGTAGATATGTGTCTCATAAGTGAATGTAAAATTCTTGAGATAATAAATTTCTTAAACCAGAAAACTAGTTTTATTTAAATGTTTAGTATTCGCGTAAATATAAGAAATTATTAGACGATATTCGCATTCCGCCTCTACACGAGTAGGCTACATATTAATAATAAGAACATTTTAATAAAATTGCTCTGCTACATAAAGTTACAGCTTATATACGTCTCACTGCTGGGCACAGGCCTCCTCTCATTTCTAAGAGGGTTTTAGGGCTAAGAAGTGTCCGCCGAGCTGTCTCAATCCACGTTGGCAGCCTTCACATGTCTTCGAAATATTTTTTTTCTTATTTCTCAGACATACAGGTTTCCTCACGATGTTTTCCTTCTCTGCCAAGCACGTGGTAAACCAGTATTTAAAAGTGCAATTAACAATTTCATTGGTGCTGGCGGGGATTGAACTCGGGTTGCTCGAGTTGTGAAATTTACAGTGAGCGCTAGCCATTTGAGGTACCACTGCTCAATAACCTATCTTTTTTAAATATTGACCATAAACGTTTTCTTTATAACATATTGTCATTGATTGTGTATGTATTTTCATTGTTTATTTTATATTATTTTCTTAGTCTTTGTATTTTCTGAAACAACCCTATTGCATTTTTATCGGTATTTTACTCCTTATTCAATCGTCATAAAACTATATGAGCAAGGGTTCGCACAAGCAAAAAAGGTCGCCTTTTACTATAATACATAAATAGTTAATCGTATCGCATTTTGCTTACCGATTCAGTATCGAATTCATGGATATTGATTCTTAAAAGATCGGGTTGTTTAGAAGGTAACTATTTAAAGTATTTTTAAGATAGTTTCGTCTATATTAAGCTAGCTAACATGAAGTAATTATTGGTTTTGTACGCAATTTTGACTTCAGATTAAAAAAAGAATATATACTACGGTATGTATAATATATTAATCCGTGAAGGGAAAACTTAGAACAGCTTTTTAAGTATATTGTGCGCGTGGATGAGTAAGAGATTTTGCATAGTTAACTTTTGGAGAAGAAGTGCCTGCACTCCTGAGCTTCCTGAGGCTAAAATTTATATATAGTATGTCTTACAAATACATTAAAAAAAGTAATATTATACATACTTACATTGTTTACGTTCCTACTGCAAATGTCAAACCAATGCAATCAAGGCAATTTATACATAATATGTTCATACTCGTATGTGTATAAATTTATTGCATAAATTCTAAAGATGTAAGGTAACAAGAAGACAAATACGGAAAACGATATTATATTTCACTATCAAAGCTGTAGTAGCTCAATCGAAATTGGACCCGAATTCGATCCCCACCAGCGCTAATGAAATTGCAATCTTAATTAATAATTGTTGATTTATTACGAGATTAGTGGTGAATATAACTTAAATTAAAAATTTAAAAACCTCCGAAACAAAAAAGCGGAACAGATTTTCTTGAAACAGCTAAGAATGCTCTCGATTAAGACACCTTACAAACGATAAAAACTTCTTCAAAATCAAAATCCATTCATACGTTTGAATTTTGTTTGACACACAGATATACAGATTTACACTAAAAACATATAAAACCCCCTCTGTTTTCGTCGGAGGTTAAAAAAAGTGAATCCTCCATGATTGAGAAATTAAACAAAATATTTCAGACATGTGAAGTTCAGCAACATCCATTAGGGCAGCGCGGCGAACATTTTTATTATTATTATTATGTATATATGACGGCGACGCCGACAGTTTTCTCATAACATAGACAGCATAATTAAATAATATCTGCGTCATTATTATACAATTTATTATCAGTGGTAAGAAAATACGCCACGGAGTAGATTAAGCTTTCATCTTCTTCATCTTGTCGGACATCCGACACATAATCCAGCAATATTAGCCATGTGTCGGTTCTTTTAATGACGCCAGATTAATGGTTTGGGGCACGACCGGGAAATTTAATATTCCGCATGAGAACACCTGTTATAAACGATGGTCAATTTTATACGAGAATACTAAGGTGAGTATATTATTTAATTTTACAATAGAAGAAGAGCGTGTCTGTTCAACCTCGTACTCTACAGCCCGTCACAATCTTAATGTGGTGGTAGGGTAGGGTTGCATTTTTTTTAAGAGTCAGTTTTGATTGGTTCAACAGTTTCACTTTTTTAATTATATTTTTTTGCTACTAACAGTGTTGCCTGATTTGAAAAGCAAAGAAAGCTCCGAGTTTTTAGATACTAATATTGAGAGAATCCTAAAATAATAATAAAAACTCTTGTAGTTGACTTGTAGTAAACGGGCCGGGTGCCG